AAGTTTGTGAACCATTCGTCGCAGGCCAATTCCGTATCCGGAATTGGTTCTAATTTGATATGTGCTTCAGCCAACGTTTCATTAGCCAGGCTTTGTTGGTTGTTCGCAAAGTGGTACTGGTTGGTCACCATTGCTTGCAGCAATTCGTGCTGTTGCTTCATCATCGCCGCTATGATGTCTTTGAAGTCTGTCATGTCGTTTTGAGCTGTCGCCATGTTTTGTTAAGGGCTACTAGTCCGGTCTCAAAAAGTGTGTGTTTGTACACACACGGTATCTATAAGGCTATTTCACATTACTGTCCTATTGAGTGTTGCTGAAACTCGAATATGGCAAGTGAGCCGAAAAAGAGAATTAACGGTCGGCGAGAATTGAACTCGCGATCTTCTGCGTGTTAAGCAGACGTCATAACCACTAGACCACGACCGCGAAAATGTTGAATGTGTTGGAGCATGCTGTATATGGGCGATGGAGATAGGACGGGTAAAGCCACCAAGTTTGTGCTGCGAAAAAAATGTCGGCAGAGAATGACGGTGAGTATAAAGGGAAAGGCAAGTTTTGGTGGAGCAAAAACTCGGAGTGACTTAGTTGACGACGACAGATCTGTTGAATCTGATCTTGTTGTCGATTTTGTAGGTAAATTTCTTGTCCTTGACGTCGGCCTGGAGAGTGTCAGCAGGGACACCATTGGCGGCGGGTCTGGGTTTGCTGGCCTTTCGGGGGAAGACGACCAGTTTGCTCATGTATTCCTTCAACCTTTCAACGTTTCTGTCGAAGCCCTCTTGGTTCTTGTTTACGCGGCGTACGTCACTGGAGATGCCGATGGTGCGAGCGCGGGCGGCAGTGAGTCCGACAGCCTTGAGCTCCTCCACAGTGAATCCTCGGCCGGCCCTGGGGCGGAAGTTGTACTTTTGGGAGCAGCATTGGACAATGGGACGGAGTTTATTGATGGGCGCAAGTCCGGCGGCGGCGACCTTCTTCTGGCGGGCAAGCCGTCTGCGCTGCTTGCGGGCGGGTTGGTTCAGCCACGTCTTGAAGAGAGGATGGACATCCTTCTTGAATTGGTAGCAAGGGATGCTGTGGTTACCTTTCACCATTATGTCACCTAAAAATAGGAGGGCAAAAAAAACTCTGGGGTCGTTGCTGTCTCAATATGGCCCCACGATGCCCCAGACTCGACCTTATTGGCGAGCAGCCACACCTGAATGACTTCCGCACACGTGTGCTCAAACTACAGAAATACGTTTCCTACGACCACGTCTTTGCCGCATACAGAAATGACGAGGAAACCGGCTGGTTCATGAAAACCAAACCTCTCAAGAACCCACAACGCACCGAGCTAGAAAAGGCTCTCAGCCTACAACACATTCTGCAAGTAATTCATCCACGTCGCAAAACCCACCCATCTATTTCAGAATAACGATGCTACAAAAAGACGCCAGAAGCTCAAACCCAAAGACTATGACCATCTCGCCAATGCCGTGAGCAGAGCGTTGCCTATTCCGGATGTTCTGGCAAAGAAAAATGTAAGCTACATTACGCTACCCACCGCTTCGCTTTAGTCACTTGAAAAAAGGCCGAAACTCCAAGGAGATATCGAGAACCTGAAAGCTGCGCTCAGGAGCTCAGAAGCTCCTCCTCCTTCCGCAGCTGGCATTTCTAATTGACGGGATCCTCTCCCCCCCCCCCCCCCC